AACAAAACACATTGCCAATATGATACAATAAAGTAGCTACAGCTAAATAATTTTAACGACTAATCTTTAGAGTTTAATTTCCTGCAAAAATACAACTGTGAAAGATTTAGCAATTTATCAACTCCAAAGGTTTACTGCTTCCCTACATTTTTATTTGCTGCCATTTATAGGCCATTTTGATGTGAAAGAGTTAACTACACTCAATAGTTCTGGATTAATACTTGAGAGTGATTTAAAGGCTAGCCAAGAACCCAACTGATGTAAATTGGACCATAATAACATTTTGTTTTATAGAGACTAATGCTTCTAGTTTTCAAATTTAATGAATATCTTTCCAACTGTAGTTATATCCATTATATTCTTGTATTTATTTTTATATTCGCTCTTTTATTTTGTTCATATAAAGAATATTCTTTCATAAAGGAAATACAATTTGCTAAATAAATAAATGCATACATGTATATTTTAAAACAGTTCTAATGTCATCTTAGCAGTATTAGAAAAGACTCTCATAATTTGAAACAATAAATATTATGTTAGATACATTAGTAGAAATTTTTAATAGGATAAGAAAGGCTTGAGACCAGAGAGGATTATTGAGTGTATTCTTAAAATTTTTCAGGCTGCAGTATTATTTTTAAAATTATATGTAAATTTTGTTTATGTGGCTATATTCAAGATACATTGTAGTTTCTTGAGAACAGACATAACCTCTGTCAAAGTTTTCAGGGTGCTTAGAATAGTGTATGGCATAGAGCAAAAACTCAGTAAATATGTCTTATTTGTAGAGAGAAGGCATTATGAGGAGAATATTATTACCCTGTTTTAATCCTGAATATAAATTTTTCAAGGGTGATGTGTATGCCTGTTGAAGTGAAGAGGGTGGTATTCATGGCAGAGTGGTCACATGCTTAGGGCATATTCTGGGATGTGCATTTCAGTTGGTGTAGCTGGAACGCAAGATGCAAGGCAAGAAGGACTTATGATATGTGAGGCTGGAGATATAAAACAAAGAATTTTAATAGCATATTAAGAACTGTGCTTTTAATCTTACAAGGAAAAGGGAGCCACAAATAGGTTTATTCTCATAAAGGAAAACAGAACTAGGAACAAGAAAAGTAGGATATGTGTGACATTAACTAAATAAAATAAAATAACATGGGCATAGAGTAAGTACTACTGACTCCAGTAACCAGGAAAAATTGGGCAGATTCAAGGAATATATTAAAGTGGAAGGCTGTGACTGTCTAGCTGCAACATAACACACAGATAAGAGAGTGAGCTTTGGAACAGTCTGACTTGCATTTGACTTCTGACTCTGACATTCTCTAGGTCTGAGAATGATGCTGGACAAGTTTCTTAATTACTCCAAAATTTAATTTTCTCACCTGTGATTACAAAGCCACCTCAAGGGATTGTTGCAAGGAATTAAATGAAATGACGCAGATAGAACACTTAGCACAGTTGCCTGTGGTACTTGCCAAGCCTTCTGGTTGGGCATTTTTGTAGTGGGGAAAAAATAGACAATTGACTCTGTTCATTCCTGTTTCAGAGTGGCTCTCCTATTGCAGGTTTACCTGCTACCGGTGTCTTTCTCAAGGTATTATAGCATTTGAAGAAACTAGAGGTTTGTTTAACTGATGGAGCTTTTTTTTTCCCAAAGACAAATTAAGCAATAACTGAGGTACAACTGTGTTAAGCATACTTCAGTTTCTAGTATGGAATGCTGTCAGAAATTTAATTTTTATTTTTTACTTAATCAATTAGGGAAAAAATCAGGCAAAACTGCCCAGCAAACACAGTTTATTTTTGTTTGTTGAGTTTCTTCATTCTGGATCCTTCCAGTGTCTTTCTCGTCTGTCCTAAGCATCCTTCTTCCACATCTCCACATACTGTTATGGGTCCTGTGTTTCTCCTACCTGAAAGGAAGTGATCTGAAAGGAAAATTTCTGAAAGCATATTATTGACTGCTTTATTAGATATATGTATATTTAAATTAAATGTTTTCATATAAGAATATTTAGCCAGAGAGAGACCAATCAACACTTATTCCATGAGTTCATCTAATCTATGACTTAACAACAATCTATGTGCCACTGGCGTTCACACTTATATTATCATCTCAGAACTCTCTCATGAACCCGTACCTCATATTCAACTCCTTACTCTAGAGTGTCCACTCCAAATTGATCTCTTGACCTCTCCCACAATCCTGTTCCTCCCACAGTCTTTTCCATCTTAATGAGTGGAAATACTATCTTTTCAATTACTCAGGTCAAAAATCTCAAAGCCATCTTTGACATATCCTTATACTCTATGTCTAGTCTGCCAGGAATCATGTTGGCTCTGCCTTCAGAAGATAGCTAGTAATGGGTCTGCTTTAGTATTCATGGCTACTACCTTTATCCTTACCTGATTACTACAATAGCTTCTCAACTCTTCTTTCTCTTTCCTCCTTCCTCCTCACTATCCATAACATTTTCTTTGCTCAGTAACTGTATTATTTAATTGTTTTCTGTTGCTGCTGTTACAAATCGCCACAGACTAAGTGGCTTAAAACAGTGCAAATTTATTACTATATAGTTCTACAAATCAGAAGTCTGAAACGGGTCTTGTTGGACTAAAATTAAGGTATTGGCAGGTTGTATTATTTCCTGGAGATGCTAGGGGAGCACCTGTTTCCTGTTCATTCGAATTGTTGACAATTCAGTTCCTTGTGGTTCTAAAACCAAGGTCCCCATTGTCTCATTAGCTGTAAACTAAGTGTCATTCCCTGCTTTTAGAGGCCACCATCTTTATAGCCAGCAATGGCAGAGAAAATCCTTCATATGTTACATCTCTCTGACTAAGCCTTGGGTCTCCCTCTTCCACTTTCCACCTTCCTCACTCAAGTGATCAGCTTGGGGTCACTCAGATAATACATCTCAGGGCCCTTAACCTTAATCACATCTGTAAATTCCTTTTTGCCATGTAAGGTAATATAGTCACAGATTCCAGGGATTGGGATGTAGACATCTTGGAAGGTTCATTACTCTACCTACCATAGTAACTAAAGTGACTAATTTTAACTGTAAATCAGATCATACAGCTCCTCTGCTTGAAGACCCTCCAGTAACTTTGCATTCATTCATGGTGAAAGACAAAATCTTTCAAGTAGCCTACAGAACGCTCCCTGAGATGACTCCCTCTTTATAAGTGGACTTTATCTTCTACTATACTTCTCATTCATTGCAATCTAGCCACATCACCCTTCTTCTAGTACTTTGATCACAACAGACATATCCTCTGGTTAAGATCTTTGCATTGATTCCTGGAAAGAATACCTGGAATATTCTTTTTTCTGCCATATGTTCTTCAGCTATTTGCATGGTGAATTCCCTCCAAGTTTTGTTCAGACTTTATTTTCTGTATAAGACTACTTTTACCTACTTCAAATACAGGTACTTCCATTTCTATTCTCCAAAGCATGCATCACTTTTGAAGGTACTATATAATTTACTTATTTATTATGTTTACTGTTGCTCTGTTTTCTCCTCCTATGATGTAAGCTCCATGAGGCCAGGGATGTTTGTATTATTCATAGGATGATACAGCTTCATAAAGCCAAGTTCACAGTAGATTTTCCATAAGTTTTTTTTTCCACAAAATTTTTTATTTTTATTTTTATTTATTATACTTTAAGTTCTGGGATACATGTACAAAATGTGAAGGTTTGTTACATAGGTATACATGTGTCATGGTGGTTTACTTTACCCATCAACTTGTCATCTAGATTTTAAGACCTATATTCATTAGGTATTTGTCCTAATGCTCTCCCTCCCTTTGCCCCTATCCCCAACAGTCCCCCGGTCTGTGATGTACCCTTTCCTGTGTCCATGTGTTCTAATTGTTCAACTCTCAATTATGAGTGAGAACATGCAGTGTTTGGTTTTCTTTTCCTGTATTAGTTTGCGGAGAAGCGATTTCCAGTTTCATCCATGTCCTTGCAAAGAACATGAACTCATTTATTTTTATGGCTGCATAATATTCCATAGTGTATTTGTACCATATTTTCTTTTTTTTTCTTTTTTTTAAAATTGTACTTTAAGTTCTGGGGTACATATGCAGATCATGCAGGATTGTTGCATAGGTACATACATGGCAAGGTGGTTTGCTGCCTTCCTCCCCCCATCACCTATATCTGCTATTTCTCCCCTCATTATCTCTCCCCATCCCCTGCTGTCCCTCACCTAGCCCCCCAACTGACCGCAGTGTATGTGATGCTCCCCTCCTTGTGTCCATGTGTTCTAATTGTTCAACACCCACCTATGAGTGATAACATGCAGTGTTTGGTTTTCTGTTCTTGTGTCAGTTTACTGAGAATGATGGTTTCCAGATTTATCCATGTAAATATTTAAAATGACCCAGTAAATGAACAGTCTGATTGTGGCATTAAAGATACTGGTAGCTATTATGGAGAATTTTGTTGATATTTTTGCCTGTTCCATTACACACATGGTCAGGTACATGTGCTTTGGTCACACAATGTTGAATTCAAATATGATTACTAATTAAAGAGAAAATTATGATGCTATAATATCAATGCAAAATTTCAAAATGAATTATCTTCATAAACTTTGTATATATATATATATATATATAGCATTCTCCATTACCTTCATACATAAATTTTCCTTGGCACTCTATGGGATGGGTTTTATAAAATCCTTCTCCAGGACATTAAAAATATTTTCAGTTTGGTCTTCATATGTAAATTGGCGCTTACAAAGTCTTAAATGATCTGGTCCTCACTATCTCTGCAACATCTCTCACCTGCCTGTCCTATCAAAAAGTATAATTAAAAGAAAAAGTGCTCATAATTTACTCCTCATTTCATAACCTTGATTGCACTTAGTTCTGTCTTGACTCGAGGATTAACATTTGCCATTTTTTTCTGCCTGTATCCAGCCCTTTTTCCTGCCCCCTTCACCTGGCTAACCCATATTCATTCTGTCATTTTCAGCTTCATGACACTTTTTCATGGAAGCCTTCTTCCCTGACTCTGGATATCTGGGTAAGATACCTCTTTTACGTGTTCCCATAATCTCTACATTTTCCCTAGACTACTACTTTGGAGTGGTATTATTTTATTTTCTAGATTCCCTATTTTCGTATTTTGAAGTTTTAACCCCCAATGTGATGGTCTTAGGAGATGAGCCCTTTGAGAGACAATTAGGTTTAGATGAGTCCTCATGATGGGATTAATTCATTTATAAGCAGAGATGTCAGAGAGATTGCACACTGTCTCTCCCTCCATGTGAAAACTTTCTCTGCCATGTGAAAACCCACAGTGAGAAAGTGGCTGTCTGCAAGCCAGGAAGAGAGACTTTGCCAGAATCCAACCATGCTAACACCCTGATCTTGGATTCACAGTCTCTAGAATTGTCAGAAAATAACTTGTTCTTGTTTAAGCCACCCAGTTTATGGCATTTTGTGATGGCAGCTCAAATTAACTAATGCACATGTTTGATGGATTAAATGAATGACTAAGCAAACAAATGAATGACTGATTATTTGGCAGTGATAATTATCTTGTGATCCTAGGCCATTTTGGTGTCTTAGTTGGCCTGGTATTTTTGAGCCAGTAATGTTATATTTTCTTGCTTTTTATTTTCATGGACATTTTCTTGATCAACATGATATGATGGTCCTAAACTCCAGGTCTTCTAGTACATAACAAGACTTTCAGTTTCATGTTAGAAAGGTATTTTCTAAGCTCAATTTAAGAAGAACCAGATATCTGGGTATAGAAATATTGACACTATGAAATCCAAAATTATTGACTATTTAATAACTACTTCTATGATCACATTAATTATATTAAAATAAATCTCCTAGCTAGGAAACAACTGATATGAAAAATAAGAGGCATTTCATATACATGAAACAAAGACATGGAGAAAGTAGAGCATTTACATGCCTCAAGAGGTAAATATATTTGTGGAATAGTAAATGGAGAAAGATTTTCTACTCCTGGTGGATTTGGGGAGACAGAAAGCTTTTCAACAACAAATGCCTGCTGTGTATAAATATGAATAACTTCTTCAAGAAATTAAGCTTCTTTAGTTGAGAAGTCACTGTGATGTTAGATAAAAAGAATTTGTCTAATGTTTAGAATATCTGAATTCTGGTTATGCACTTAGTAAGTGGTGGTCCACTGATTTTTTTAAACTCTGTGAGACATTTTTTTTTCCTGTTTAAATATATATCTACATTAGATAGCTTTTACTGTGGCAAAGAGGACTTCTGCTATTGCATGTCTGTGAACTGGCAGTGACTGGGCTTGGCTCTTCTGAGATTGGCAGGGCTTGGCTTTATACCAAGTACTGTCTCTTTCTGGAACATGAGTGGAAGGAGGGGTCCCTATTGGGCATGCTGTTCTCAGGAGGGCAAGCAAAGCTTTGGGGCTTTGCTTCTGAAAACCTCTGCTCACAATCGGCAACTGGCACCTGTACACACTCTCCACTGTTGCAGGTAAGTCATACGGTCAAACAGAAAGTCTGAGGTTGGTGATACACTGTACTTTGCCTATTGGAAGGAGAAAAATTAATGGAAACAATAATTCAACGTACCGCACTACCTCATTGAGTTGTTGAGTGAATTAAATGTGTTTATTATATTTTTTGTGAACCCTAAAAATCTAAGCATAGGTATTAGCATGAGAAATAAAAGAGAGCTACTTTAGCCAGTGGGACATAATTGTAGACATTAGTAATCAGTTACAGAAGGCTAAGAAGCAAGGGAATAATAACCAAAAAGATATAATAATTAAACTTCCTACATTTAAAATAAAAGATGGAAGAAATAACATAGCTTACAGCAGTCCGGTGAAGAATTTCAGATACGAGGGAGAGACTTTATTATAAACATTTTCTAGTATGGCCTAAGCTTATTTTACTAAAGTAATGCTTACTCATAAATTTCTATGAAATATTACACAATATATTCTAACAGTCAGACATTATAGCAAACAGTTTTTTTGTTGTCAAAACTTTAGATATGTTCTTATGTGTAAAAATGTTTCTTTTTGAATAAGCAGGGAACAAGCACTGTGTAACTGTGTGCCCAGTTGGTATTACAATATAATCTTAGATATTTCTCTGATGCCAGCCTCTGGGAAAGTAGTAAATTTTACCAGACATATATGCTCTAGTGCAGGAGGCTCTGGATCCTTGTACCATCAATCATCCACTTAATCTTTATTAGTGCTAAGGGAAGGGAAAACCCTCCCTCCAATCAGTGTTTCTTTCTACATAGCACCATATTATTCCTCAATGATGTATCTGGGTCTTTGCCAGCTCTATGTTTTTTCAATCCTTCATTCATTCCTCAATTCATTGTAGTCTATTTTTTTCCTCTGTCATTGATTCAAATTATTAGGATGGATGTTGCTGATGATGTCCTAATATTAAATGCAATGGAAAATTTCCAATAACTATATTACTTTGACCCCTCTGATATTTGACACTATGAGACACTCTCTTTTGAATTCTCACTTTCTTTGGCTGATGTGATAGCTAACCTTTGGTTCCCCATACACCTGAAAGATCACTCCATCTTTTTCTTCACTGACTGTTCTCTGTCATCCTTCTATGATGTGGCATTCTTCAAAGATTCATCTTCAGATCTTCTTTTGTAAATGTTGTGCACTCTCATTCATATCCTGGGTCTAACCATCATGTTTCAGCTTGTATACCCAGTCCAGGTCAGTTTCTGAACTCCAGACTCATTTCACTATGTACCTGTCATTTTCACTTAGCCTACATGAACTTCAAGCTTGATGAGTCCAAATGGAAATCGATATTCTTAACACTCCTCTCTCTTCCTTTTTTTCTCTTTTGTTTTATATCTCAGTTAATACTGATATTTAGAAGGAGCTCAGACCTCCACATTAAATAGAAGTAGTGTGCAAGTTTGCCCTTAACATAGTGTATTACTAAGGTTATTTTTATTCATCATATTTTAAAGCCAATGGAAGTAGAGTGAAATCAATATAGTTTTTGCTGAAAAATGTGACAAATTCTAGAGTATCAGTTTTTTATTTGGGACATTATGCTTAAAACTTAAGAATTATTGGCCTGGCTTGGTCATTTATGCATGTAATCCCAGCACTTTGGAGGGCTGAAGTGGGTGGATCACCTGAGGTCAGGAGTTCGAGACCAGCCTGGCCAACATGGTGAAACCCAGTCTGTACTAAAATACAAAAATTAGTCTCTACTAAAATACAAAAATCTCCACAAAAGTCTCTACTAAAAACAAAAAAAATTAGCTGTGTGTGGTGGCGTGCACCTGTGATCCCAGCTTCTCTGGAAGCTAAGGTCGGAGAATAGCTTGAATCTGGGAGGTGGATGTTGTAGTAAGCCAAGATGAGGCCACTGGGCTCCAGCCTGGGTGACAGAGTGAGACTCCATCTTAAAACAAAAAAAAATTACACACATTTTCGAAATGATCTGGAAAAATGTCAGTCATATCAACATGAGAATGGAAACTTAAAAAAAAATGTGTGTTTTAGCACCTAATGCTTTGCCAATTACAATGCCACTAAAGAAATTAACTTTTTAGCATCATTAAAAATATATTTATAGTAGTTTATATGGTATGAAATGACTTCAGTCATGTATGTTTTCTTAAACCTTAAACTATCAAACATACTTATACCTAACAAATAAAAAGAACCACATAACATGACAAAAAAAGAAAAGATCAGCTTTCAGGGCATTAGTGTGGTAAAGCAGACTTTCATGAGTTCAATCATAAAGGTATGTTATCCTTTGCTATATATCTTATGACACTGTAATTCATGGTTATGGAGGTGATGGATGAGGCAATTTGTTGATAAAGTAATTTAATAAAATTAATGAGAATAAGAAGATAATTTTGATTAGAAATGGGCAAAGACATGAAAAAAGAGGCTCACTAAAGTCTTTGAAAGACAGGAAAATATTATTTTAAAACTTCCTGGAGGCCAGGCTCACAGCTGTAATCCCAGCACTCTGAGAGTCCAAGGCAGGTGGATCACCTGAGGTCAGGAGTTCGAGACCAGCCTGGCCAACATGATGAAATCCTGTCCAACATGATGAAATCCTGTCTTCACAAAAACACAAGTCGAGTGTGGTCATGCATGCCTGAAATCCCAGCTACTCGGGAGGCTGAGGAAGGAGAATTGCTTGAATCCAGGAGGTGGTGGTTGCAGTGAGCAGAGATCCTGCCACTGCACTGCAGCCTGGAGACAGAGTGAGACTTTGTCTCCAAAAACAACAACAACAAAATCCCCAACAACAACTACGACTTCATGGAGTGAGAATTTTCTAAAACACTCTATAAAAGGAAATTATAGAGTGTTTTTTTTTTCTTTTATGTTAAAACTTATTTTTAAATTTGCTGCTTTTCTTACCAACAGACCATTTTGGATTAAGTTCTACTTGCCCATAAAATAAAGAATACTAATAGGCTATTTTATACCTTGCAGTGTGAATGTACCTTAGCTTAAGCAAAACTTATTGGTAAAATCACCTCAAGCTAGATAATACACCAACTCTGAGGTTTTAGGTGAAATAGCTTCCTGGAATTATACATTCTCAGGCACTACAACAAAAAAAGCGTCTTGGCTTTGCAATATTTATCAGTATCATTCCTTCAATTCAGCATAGTATAAAGGAATAATTTGTTGCAATACATTTGTCCACTTGAACAGCAATTCTATTGTCTTTTTTGTCCTCTGGAATTTATTGACCACCTCCTTATGTCTAGAGAGGGTCATTATTTTCTTTTTTTTTTTTAATTGCATTTTAGGTTTTGGGGTATATGCGAAGAACATGCAAGATTGTTGCATAGGTACACACATGGCAGTGTGATGTGCTGCCTTTCTCCCCATTACCTATATCTGGCATTTCTCCTCATGCTATCTCTCCCCAACTCCCCACTCCCTGCTGTCCCTCCCCTATTTCCCCCCAACAGACCCCAGTGTGTGATGCTCCTCTCCCTGTGTCCATGTGTTCTCATTGTTCAACACCC